CCATGAAATGAACAAATCCGAGAGTGATCTACCTGTAGTAAGTAGTCCCCCAAAGTAATATCCCCACTACTTACTGATTGGAACAAGTTCAATCTGCAGCGACTTTGTGCCAATTTCATTATAGGCCATACAATCATATCTGCCGTAGTCTTTTGCAGAATTCACTTTCTTGATTGTTAAGGTACTAATAAAAAGGTTATCTTCGTATTTCTCAGCTATCTGTAATCCTTCAACGTCACTGGTTAGCTCACCACCGGTAGAGTTCAACCATTTGAACTGGGGATCAGGGAAAGCATCAGATTTACATACGAGAACTGCCATTTCATCTTTATCGACTGCAACTTTGTCAACAGCATCAACTATGTCAGGAGAATCTGAAAATAAAAATGTACTGTTGGTGAGTGGTGTCCTAGCAAAAAATAATATGATTTTATTTAATTAGTCAAACACAAACTTAACAATAGATGCAAAAAAATGTACAGAATCATTTTAATTATCTTTTTACTGACTTTGTATCAAGTTTCAGATTTGGGTCCAGAACAACCAGAAAACAAGGATTTTCGTCTTTTCTATATTATGCTTAAGAATAACAATTTTGATAATACTGAGCAATTCTATGTAAAGCTTATTTACATCAAAGTGTGGAACACTGGAGGTTAGAAAGAAACAAAAAAACATAATGTAAATAAGTTTTTTTATGGAGGGAAGGAAATAAGATTGTTGACTGCTAATGTTATTGTATATATATGCATATGTCAATGTAAGCCATTGTAACAGTGAAATGCGTGATATGATGACAGATGCGACCATTTTGGTTTGCAGCAATTTAAACTAATGAAATCTGTGTGATTAAGATGAGCACACACGGTATGCAAAATGTGAAAATGAATGAGCGAGACAAAAGTGGCCAGTGTTCCTTTTTAGAGTGTACACATTCTGAAAATCATCATTTTGTAGCAGTGAAAATTGGCATTTTGTAAGCTATCAAGTTTTCAAAGATTCGAAACAGCCGACTTACAAATGTTTTAATTAATGCCACAACTGTTCTTATTCGATAACTCGATTTTGTAATGTTAATACATGCTTACTTACAGTGGATAACGAGTTCTGCCGAAGCTGAAGCGTCTTCATCCATGTCATCATAGAACTTTGTTGTTGCTTTACAAGTATAATTACCGCCTTTAGATCTATCGACCGATGCAAAGCTTAGATATTCCATATCCTCGCCAAGTTCATTGACAGTTCCGTCTTTCATGATCTGTGTCCACTCGTATTTAAAAGGTGGTGGCTGGCTATCAACAGTACAGTTAATAGTCACCTTGGATCCCTCAGTTACTGGCAATAATGGACTTTCCAGACTCACCTCAGGACCATCTGAGAAAACAATTGCATCAAAATTTAGTTTCGATCAATATAAATCAAACTAGGACTCTCGAAACAAGGATTCCTGTTCACTTTGGAATCTTGTGCAATGTGAAAAACATTTCACTGAAATTTTCAACTTGAATCTTTTTCTTTTCATAGTTAAAAGTAAAGATGCACATTCGTGCAACAACTCGTCAATGCATCCAAGTA